TAATAATAATAATAATAATAATAATAATAATAATAATAATAATAATAATAATATACAAAATACTAAAGCTATGAGGGTCATTTGGAAAAATCCTTTCTTAGTGAGCCCCTAGAAGCCAAGAGAAACATATGGGCCAAATTTCAAGTTTGTAGGCGTTACGGTTCTGGAGATTTTGTGATGATGTGTGAGGGGTATTTCACTTTTATATAGATAGATACCTGAACAAATTCAGCGTTTCAGATTGTCTCTGTGCTTCAAGCCATCTTCTCATTATGAGGTCGTGCTCCATTCAAGAAACCGTTTTGTGACAAACACACAAAACGTACACACACCTCTGGTGTGGCTGGAATGTTGCACGTGAGAGCTGTAGTATTTATTAGAGTAGACACTAAATATTAGAGTAGAGTAGATAGAGAAGTCCTCAACGTACGATCACAGTTGGGCTCAAATTTGACCCCTTCTGACCAGCAAAGTCAATGCGGAAGCCAGATTCACTTAACGACTGATTGGTCCTCAACTTACAACATTTGTTTAGCGACCGTTCACAGTTGCAACGACACTGAAAAAAAGTGGCAGGATCGTTTTTCACACTTATGAACTGTTGTAGCATCCCTGGAGACATGCAATTTAGACTGACTTGGCAACTGACTCGTATTTATGATGGTGGCAGTGTCCCCGGGGTTGTGTGATCCCCTTTTGCGACCTTCTGATAAGCAAAGACAATGTGGAAAACTGGATTTCACTTAACAGCCATGTGACTAACTTAAGAGCTGCAGTGATTCACTTAACAATTGTGGCAGGAAAAGTTGTAAAATAGAGCAAAAACTCACTTAAAAACAAATCTCGCTTAGCCACATAAATTCTAGGCTGAATTGTGGTCGTTAAGTCGAGGACCAATCGTCCTAACTCAACAACTGCAGTGTGTCAGGCAGTTACTCCCATTTAAATCATGAGTCTTGAGCCAAACTTCCAAAACTTCCAAAGGATTTATTGGGAGTAAACATGCCGGCATTGCCTGGGTGTAGCTGATTCTGAGATGCTTCATTCATTGCCACCCTTGACCCTGTTTTCCCCCATCCCCTGGGTGTATCGTAATTCATATTCTCCAATGGGACACATCCATAGCCAAAAGTCTCTCCCGTTAGAATTCTGCACAGCAGAAACTTCAGTCACCTAGTTACTATCTTTGAAAACATTTATGGAATGCAGTTTCGATTTGCAAGCTGCCGCACTGCTTCCCTCTCCCTTTCTGTTGGCAACTCGAAAAAGATCCGAGAAATATTTTATGAGTTGACACAGTGGTTCACTTAAAATCTGTGGCAGGAAAGGTCGTAAAATGGGGCAAAAACCTCAATGAACAAATGTCTCACTTAGCCACATCAATTCTGGGCTGAATTGTGATCAAAAGTCGAGAACTTCCTGCATTTTAACAAAAAGTATAGACCAGAGGTTCTTTCATTGGCCCTAGCCAAAAAAATATATATTTTAAACTCAATCCCCAAACCTTTTTCATTTTTCTTTACGTTTTTTTTCTTCCCCTTCAAGGAAAAATAATTCATCCAATTCCCCATCTTGTTAGCATTATTATTGCTGCGAGTACAAGAGGCAGGATGTAAGAGTCTAGCAAATATTAAATTCTGACAAATCTGGAATCTGTTTTCATTCCAACCAACAGCGATGAAATTACTTTTTGTGGTCAAAGAACATCTATATTTTTCTCGGCTAAACTCGGATCCATTGCCTGATTGTATTTTTGTGCCAGATAGTGTGTGTGTGTGTGTGTGTGTGTGTGTAAAAATCTTTGCTTTTCTTTCATCTGTTTCTGCCTCCATCGTGCTCACATTTCCTTCTTTTGATCGTACAGAACCATCTGGCATTTAAAGGGCAAAAATATTATTCCCCAACTAACCCAACTTAAAATGCTCCAAATTACGGTAACCTTCGTGCACTTGGGGTTTGTTTGTTTTTTGTTATTCAGCGACAACGATCTTCATAATGAACAGGTCGCAAGGTGCAACAATTCCGAGATAATGCCCAGTGGTATATATAAATGTCAAGGAAATGTCATTTAAAATTATCTCACTGACCTCAGGGAAATCTTTTTAGTCCAGCCAATATATACTGTACTGAGGGTGAAAACTGAGCCATTTATTTGGGCATAAGTGATTGTTATTGCCTTTCAGTTTTAGCTTACTATGTGCTTAAATATAATCATCTTGTTTTGTAACTGTGGGCTTATAATTTGCTTTCTTCACATGGTTTCAATAAGAAAATCCCAAATATATGTTAATGTATTTGTATGCATTTTTGCATATGTAGTTTCCACCAGAAAACAATCCGTATTTATCTAATCACATGGTCTAAAAACTGTTCTGTTCTATTCTATTCTTATTCTGCATTCTATTCCTATTTCTATTCTATTCTATTCTGCATTCTATTTCTATTCTATTCAATTCGATTAAATTAAATTCAATTCTTATTCTATTACATTACATTCCTTTCTTATTCTATTCTGTCCTATTCTTATTCTATTCCATTCATTTCTTATTCTATTCTATTCTATTCTGTTCTGTTCTGTTCTGTTCTGTTCTGTTCTGTTCTATTCTTATTCTATTCCATTCCATTCCCTTCCCTTCCCTTCCCTTCCCTTCCCTTCCCTTCCCTTCCCTTCCCTTCCCTTCTCTTCTCTTCTCTTCTCTTCTATTCTATTCTGTTATCCCTCTCCCTCTCCCTCTTCTCTATTTTCTATATTCTTCGGCCTGGTCTATCCAACGTGAAGAGAAAACAGGCCAGCAGTTTGGGAAGTGGCATCAAGCTGAAGAGGGGCGGGGCACTCTCCCCCCAAGTAGCCGGCTCAGTCTGCGCTGTTCCCACCTTCTCTCCACTTTCCGTGCTCAGGGATCAGGAGGGGGCGGTCCTTGTTCATCGCCTGAGCTCTGTCTCTCATGTTCACTGCTTAGCCCCTCCTGGTCAGACTGCCCCCGCTTCTTCCCTTTCTGCAAACCATCCCAATCCTGAAAGGCCCTGGCCTGACTCGGCCTGCTCCTGGCCCCACCTGCCCAGTGAGTGGCATCAAGCTGGCCACACCCACCCCATCGGTCACACCCACCCAGTTCCCTGAGGTCAACCACAGCCCGGATTCGGCCCTCAATGAAATCAACCCCTTGAGTGGGGGGGGGGGGGGGCAGGTTGGATTAGAAGACCCTGTTGTCACTGTTGAGTCAACCCTAACCCCGCGTGGAACCGGCGAGTCGTGTTTTGAACCCAGAGCGCAGACCGGAAGCAGAGCAGAATTCACCTGAGCGAAGTCGGCTGCCAGCCTCATTTTCCCGCCTTCGCCAAGAGGCCGGAGCAGGCTGGCGTTGCGGATGAAGACCTCAATGGCCCTCTGAGCAAGGCCCTCGGTCCTGTCGTAGACGAAATCGTAGCATTCGAAGTGCCTGAAATAATCGTTCATGACCCTGGAGATGAACCCCTGCAGCTCCCTCATGTACAGAGAGCAAGGGACGTCCGGCTTTCCCGAAGGAGGAAGGGACCTGCCCGAAAAACAAACAAACAAACAAACAAAAAAGAGGGAAAGGTTCATTTCCTATCCATTTCCATTGGAGGTTTTTTTTTTTTTTTTTTAATTTAAGGTAGTCCTCGACTTACAAAAGTTTATATAGTGACCGTTCAAAATTACAACGCAGCTGAGAAAAGAGACTTATGGCCGTTTCTCACACTTTCAACTCTTCCAGCATGCCCCTTGTGTCACGTGATAAAAATTCAGCTGCTTGGTAGAATGTTAAAAAATATTCTGCAAATCCCACCTCTGACTGGCCCCGCCAACCCCATCTCTTCTCTGCCTCCCATTGAGTCCCAGCTGACCGGCTGGGTCTTCTTTGGTTGCCCTGCACAGGAGAATGGAGCTGGAAAGCAGGCTAGTGGGGTGGGGAGGGAATGGGGATTGTGCAGTATCCTGCAAGTCACAAAGCCAACAGACTGCATTTTTCACATGGTTTACGTCTTGTAGAACCTGTAGAGAAGCAGTTACTCGATTACCCAGAAAAATCTTCCTGATGCATGGTCATGATAATAGCTTCTATGGAGTCACCCACAGAGTCCAGCAAAGGTTGCACAGCGTTGCCCATCAAACCGTGGATTGTCTAGAAAGGCAAAACCAAGGATAAAACCCAGGTTAGAAAGCAACCACGCTGTCATGCCCCTGGTGGAGACTGACTCTGTGGGAGAGGAGGAACAGCCAACAGCGAGTGGAGGTGTGGCTCCGGAGATTGTGGAGGAGGCTGGGGAAGGGCAGAGTTCGATCCTAGGTAAAGGCAGATATTTCTCTCTCTGGACACACTGAGAATATATCTGCTGAACAAAACTCCACACTGGCAACAGGAAGAGCATCCGGCCAGTCAACACTCAGCTCCATTCAGTTGCCCAGACTCCATCCTGCAAGGGATTATGGAGTCATTAAAAGAGGATAATATAAGGATTCATCTGAAGATGGCCTCCAACACGAGTCCAAAAGTTCAGAAGAAAAAAAATCTTATGGTCCCGCTGACCGACCCAGATTGGATCCTGCAATATAAGGATTGTTGCCCAGGGCAGTGGGGTTGGAGTAGATCAGTAGAAGACCTCCAAGGTCTCTTCCAGCTCTGTGGTTCTATTCAGAAGCTCAAAACGACACAAGAAGTCCTTCCTTCCTCTCTTCTCATTGCCCCGTGAGTTAGTTGGGAATCGATGGAAAGGAAGCCTGTTGTGCAAAGCAAGATTTATATCGGTCTTCGTGACTTTAGTGTACACACCTACCTTCAAAGCAGCATGAACGGTTTTCTCCGAAGCGCTTGGAAATCCACTTTGGTTGGAGATCACCTAAGAAAAATACCAGGAACAACATTAAATGGTGCAGTGAGATCCAAGTATGGTGAATCTTCATTTTACAAGCTGGCCACAAAAGGCCAGCTAACCCACCAGCTGCGCCTATGAGAAAAAATACACTTGGTTTACTTCTTCTAAATCCAATTCCTCCAGGAGGCTGCGCAGAGATACTGCACAGGAGTGTGATGACCCACATGTGACACAAAAATAACAAAGTCACCAAAGTAGAATAAATTCTCTTTAATGCCTCCAACTTGGCCCACAATGTCCAATTATCCTCGGCTGGATATCAAACTCTTCCAAAAACAGTCTACGAAGGGCAGAAATGCAGTCCGAACCCAAAGTAAAGATAATTAGAAATAAAAAAAACACAACACAAATTACACTGAAGTAATTAACATGGCAGGGCAGGATGATAAATTGCAGACTTTCAAAGGATAACACAGCACCCACAGTTGGGAGGACGCCAAAACCCAGATAAGCCTCAACCAAGATAATGTACGCTTTGCTTCCAGCAAGGAGCCATGTGCGAATGCCCCACTTATATCCTGTTTTCCCAGCTGCAACTAATGAAAGGGATCAGGGCCTTTTTCTCTCTCGTAAGCCACATTGCTCCCTTCTCCGTTCCTCCTTGCATGCCCTAGGATGAAGAGGGGATGGCCCTGGGTTTTCTTCTGAATGCCCAGCAGGACTGTGTCCTTCCCCCATCTCTTCCACAGCCACTGGAGCCACACTCCCACTCCCTGTCAGCTGCTTAATCTCCCCCTCAGAATCAGACTCCAACAAGGGCATGACAGGTGTCAACTGGTAAAACATTCCTATGCCTGTTCTCGAGTCGCCATAAACAAGGGCAGGGGAATCTGAAGGAGCAGTACGGCAGTTTAAAACCAGAAGTACATTCCACGCTTACCTTACAAAGATTGTAGCTAGGCTACCGGATCTTCTGCCTGGGGAAATCCTTCATTGGAGAATGTGATTGATGACACCCAGCCCTTGAACATGCTTCATTGGAGAATCTGATTTATGATACACCCATAGGGTCACAGGTGACTGTAAATTTCATATGCTAAAGTTGGCTTCATTTAGGTTAATGCCGACATGTTGCTCCTAATAAATCTTTTGAATTCTTTTGAAGCTTGGCTCGAAGCTCATGATTTAATTAGGGCAATCGCCGGAACCCTGACAGCAGGCAGTCCTCAACTCCTTAGCATCAGTGTGTGTTAATAATAATAATATACGAAATTCTAATGTTCTGATGGTCATTTCAAAAAATCCTTTCTTAATGATCACCTAGAAGCCAAGAGGAACATACAGGCCAAATTTCAAGTTTGTAGGCTTTACAGTTCTAGAGATTTTGTGATGATGCGTGAGGGGCTTTTGTATATATAGATTGTATTTTCTATTAGTGTATATATTACTATTTTCCCTATATATATTTTCTGGCATCTCCCTTCTTGACCACATCACAAATAACCCCATTCGACAGCATTTGGGTGTGGCACCAATTAGAGAGAAGATGAGAGAAAGCCGGCTCCACTGGTATGGACACATCCAGAGAGCAGCACCTTCCGCCATGGCCAAGACTGCCTACCAACTAGAAGTCAATGGCCGGTGACCACGTGGGCATCCAAAACAGAAATATCAAGACACCATCAACAAAGTTAGGCAATGTCAGAGCATCTGCAGCATGACTACTATTGTGAGACAATCCAGGAGCAAAACACGGCACACAGAAACTTAGACTTTTAACAGTGGTTTATATACAACAGTTATATACAGAAATATATGTGGTAGGCAAATACCTGGCAAGTAATCAATCTTCTTAACTCTGCACGGAGAACTCTACAATGGATACAGGACACATGGAGAGAGAACACGCCCTCTAATGGCTACCTTTATATAGATACCTCTTAAAGAGGTAAAACTTCTGTGGATCCATTCTTTGGTTTAAAAGGGCAATACCCATGCTATGCTGATTCATCCTTATTGTATCAACCTTACATTGCATCAGCTTTACAGCTGCTGGTCAGCTCTTAAATTTCAATACCTTAACAGGCAAGCCGTGGGCCTGCGCCCTGGAAACGCAGTTGACCGTGCAGAGTTGTGCTCAATGATATGAAAAGCGGGCCCTGCACCTGCGGGAATATGCTAGGAAGACGACGACTTACTTTCAGAATGGACTGGTGCAGCTTGTAGAGGGAGTTCACGACCGTCACATTTCGTCTCTGCCCTTCGGTTAATGGGCCGATCACCTGGCTGGCTTCTCCCTGCGTGGACAGCTGCAGCGAGCAAATGAACAAAACCCCATTATTTCACTGGAAGTATTTGCACCGTTTTCACACACATCGCTTCCTTTGCAACATGGAAGGAAAAGGGGAAAAGAGAATGTTAGGTAATGTAATTTTGAATTCCCAGCTCCCTCCCTCTCCCCCCAAACATTTCTTGGAGTTGTCATCTTAGAATAATAACAACAATAATAACAACAACAATAACGTTGGAATAGAGTCAGCCTGCAATACTCACTGCGCCACCAGGAAGGACAATGAAAAAGGGAAGAAGGAAGGAAGAAGTAGCACTTTGACTTATATACCACTTCACAGTGCTTCACAGCCCTCTCTAAGTGTTTTACAGAATCAGCATATGCCCCCCAACAATCTGGGTCCTTATTTTACCAACTTCTGAAAGATGGAAGGCTGAGTCAAACCTTGAGCCAGTCAGGATCAAACTGCTGGCAGTCGGCAGAGCTAGCCTGCAATACCACATTCTAACCACTGCGCCACCATGGTTCATTGATAACTTCCAGTGATGCTATAAACAACCACACACTTGCTTTTTAATCTGAACTCCAGAATTAAAAAGCAAGTATCTCTACAATGAACTTTAGTTCTTATAGAGGTGTTGATCCACAGAGCTGTGTGTAGTTGAGTATATATGGAATGCGGAATAACAGAGTTGGAAGGGACCTTGGAGGTCTTCTAGTCCAATCCTCTGCCTAGGCAGGAGACCCTATACATTCCAGACATGTGGTTGTCCAATCTCTTCTTTAAACCTCCAGTGTTAGAGGATTCACCACTTCTGGAGGCAAGTTGTTCCACTGATTAATTGTTCTCACTGTCAGGAAATTTCTCCTTAGTTCTAGGTTGCTTCTCTCCTTGATTAGTTTCCATCTATTGCTTCTTCTCCTGCCTTCAGGTGCTTTGGAGAATAGCTTGACTCCCTCTTCTTTGGGGCAGCCCCTGAGATATTGGAACACTGCTATCATGTCTCCCCGAGTCCTTTTCTCTAGACTAGCCAAACCCAATTCCTACAACCGTTCTTCATATGTTTTAGTCTCCAGGCCTTTGATTGTCTTAGTTGTTCTTCTCTGCACATTTTTTCCAAAGTCTCAACATCTTTTTTTGCAAAGTGGTGACCAAAATTGGGTGCGGTCTTCCAGGTGTGACCTTACTAAGGCTTTATAAAGTGGTACTAATACTTCATGTGATTTTGATTCTATGCCTCTGTCTATACAACAAAGGATTGCATTAGCTTTTTGGGCTGCCGCTGCACACTGCCGGCTGCATATTTAAGTGATAGTCCACTCGGACTCCAAGGTCTTCATATATTCCAAAAATCTTGCCCCCACCATCTGGGATATTATTTGGGGTGAGAAAAAGAGACTGTACAGGAAAGGAAGCAGTGGTGGTATTCTACCGGTTCAGTACAGTTCAACCGAACTGGTAGTAAAAGATGCTACCTGTTCAGCTGAACCTATTTTCAACAATCAGCTGCGCCACGTGATTTAGATTAGCTAGAAAGGAGAAAATCATTGGATTTCTTGCTTTCTAGGTAATCTAAATTGCATAGTATAGTTGACCCCCCCCCTCTCGCTTTTATACTTACCTCGCCAGGAGGCTTCCTTGAGGCCCAGTAGGAAAAAAACAGGGCACGGAGGGGGGGGGTGTGTGCTGCAAAAAGAAAAAAAACCACACCACCCAGCCACGCCCATCTAGCCATGCTCACAGAACCGGTAGTAAAAAAAATTTGAATCCCATCACCGAAAGGAAGAGCCGACTTAAATGGATAATGGATACATGGATACAAATAAGTTACGACTGGTTTTACAACTCTTGCTTCTGGGGGTCCGTGGTGCTTCTCCTGAGGTTGGTGGTTTGCTTGCAGACGTTTCAAATCAAGCATCATCGGTGCTGCAGAAGGGAGTGGAGCCCCCACAGTTCAACCCACTGAGCTACAAATAGCAACCGGCGCTTTGGACTAGGGACGAGGGCAGCAGAACTTCTGATTGTGCTCTTTCCTGATTAAATTGGACACCCATGGATTGTGCACCGTGGCAGGGCAGACTAAAGAGTCTTTCATAATTCACCCTCCATGGCCCTTTCGCAAGCACGTTTGTTAAACTGCTGCTAACAGATTTGTTCTGTGAGCAGAAGTTTTGGAATTAATCACCATGGCCTGCCTAAACATACCACCACCAGCAAGTTGATTCTTGTTCTGTTCTGTTCTGTTCTACTCTACTCTAATTCTATTTTAATTCTATTCTATTTTGTTCTGCTCTCTATTTTCAATTCTGTTCTGTTCTGTTCTACTATAATTCTATTCTGCTCTGTTCTATTTTCTCTTCTCTTCTGTTCTAGGTAAAGGTTCCCCTCGCACATACATGCTAGTTGTTTCTGGCTCTAGGGGGCGGTGCTCATCTCTGTTACAAAGCTGAAGAGCCAGTGCTGTCTCCGTGGTCATGTGGCCGGCATGACTAAATGCCAAAGGTGCACGGAACACTGTTCCCTTCCCACCAAAGTAGTCCCTAGTTTTCTACTTGCATTTTTTGAATCCCTAGTGTCACGTAACGGAGTGGGCTCCCGTTCCTTGTTCCAGCTTCTGCCAACCTAGCAGTTCGAAAGCTGCTAGGTTGGCAGAAGCTGGGACAAGGAACGGGAGCTCATTCCGTTACGCGGCACTAGGGATTCGAACCGCTGAATTGCTGACCTTCTGATAGAAAAGCTCAGCATCTTAGCCACTGAGCCACCACGTCCCTATGTTCTACTCTACTCTATTCTAATTCTATTCTGTTCCATTTTCAATTGTTCTGTTCTGTTCTACTCTAATTCTATTCTATTCTGTTCTGCTGTTTTATTTTCTATTCTGTTCTGTTATATCCTACTCTACTTTACTTTATTCTATTCTATTATTTCTTATTCTGTTTTGTTCCGTTCTGTTGCATTCTCTTCCGTTCCATTCCAAACAGCAATTTGGCTTTCAAGGGCACAGCCAACACTTTTGAAGCATGACTTGAGATGATCTCAAAAACCTATACCCATCTCTCTCCAGAAATTGTAAGCCATCTCAGAAGACAGCCATGGCCAAAACATTTCCATACTGTTGTCAAGAAAATTACATGGATGAGTCCATGCTGCCACCAGGCATTGAATTCAGCTCTAAAGAGTACTTGCTTTCATTAACAGAATCCTAAAATGTTCCCAATCCTTTGAGTTGCATGGTTGTGTACACTCACTCCTACAACTTGGAAAATGTTCACATTTATTAATATAAAATGAGAGAGCAATTAAATATATATGTGGACACAGATGAACACAGTACAGAAGCCTGATGAGGGCAGATGAGATTCTGCCAAAACGTTGCTACAACTTTAAAAACACAACTATAATGACGTGGGAAAATACCCGAACAAAGCTGAATACCATACACATATATATACATACATACATACATACATACATACATACATACATATATATATGTATGTAGATTTTCACGGGTACAGGTATGTAGGTCTAAGTGTGTTCGGGTCTTTTCCCGTGTAAGATTAAGAGTATCTTGGCGACATTTCGGCGCGGTCCCACTCGCCATCCTCAGGCTGGTGCTCTAGGCTTCGCGCCAGTGCAAGCAGTGTGTGATCGGAGCTACCGTCTCTCTATAAACACTGCTGGGGGGGGGGGGGGGGGTTGGTGTGCTGGTCTGGTTGGCTGTGCTGCTGCCTTTTGATTGGCCGATGGAGTTGATGTTGGTGTAATGGGCTGTGTGATGGCCCTGTGAGTTTTGTTGTGGAGATATCCTGGATCTTGTGCTTTAATCTCCTGGGTCGTTTGTGTTTTGATCTCTTTTCCATTAGCCTCCTGTGTTGTAACGGCTTGGGTAATGGGTTGTGTGGTGACCTTGTGAGTTTTATTGCTGTGGTATCCTTGGTCTTGTGCTGTTATTTCCTAAGTCATTTGCTGTGTTGCAACTTCTAGAGTTCTTGTGGTGTAATTTCCTGAGTTTTCTGATGTGATATCCTGAGTGGGTGGCTGTGATGTAGCATTCTGGGTTTTGGTCTGGCTTCGAGTTTGGGGTCTGGGTCTGTGTTCTTGGTGTGTGTCAGCTTGTTTGGTTTTGGGATCGGGGGGTGCGATAGCTGGCGAAGCAGCCGTGGTCTGGTTTCTGGATGGTGGTTATCCGTTTATAGGATGGGTTTGGGCCTGGGTCTGATGAGGGGGATTGGCGGTGGTGTCCCGTGTTGTTTTGGGTCTGGTGTTGGTTTTCGTGGCTGGGACTTGTTTGTTGGTGAGGGCTAGTTTCCAGATGTCTGGTAGGTGGGAGGTATCGTCCCGTTTATTCATGTTATGGGGGTGTTTCTCTATTTCGATGGCTTCCCTGATTATTCTCTTGCTGGAGTGTTCAGTGTTGGATATTAATTTGGTTCCTTCGAAATTAATTTCATGTCCTGTGGCTTTAAGGTACTGGAAGAGGGAGGAAGCAGCTGACAACGCTAGCAAAAATAGTAAAGAGGGGTTTTTTAAAACTTAAATATAGTGCGGCAAGGCAAACTTTAATTTCTTTTTCTTTTTTCTTATTTTCAGAGCGCATGAGAGGTTGCCAAGGTTCCATCCTTCATTTCTAGACAACTCAATTTTTTGTCTTCCCAGTTCGACACATTTATCTGTGTGCAGCAGGTGGGCCCTGTTAGTGTATTTCAATCCACCCACATGTGAAGCTCAGCAGAAATAGCATCAAAGTAAAAGAACATACAGTACTTATATTACCACTCACACTGTGATCTAACTGCGGGCATAACACAAAATGAAGCAGATTTTTTTTTTAAAAAAGCACTGTATAACAATTTGTGGAACAATCGTTCATTGACAAAGAGGCTGGGTGGTTTGTTTAAATCCATTTGGTGTTTTAAGATCCAAGAAATCGTTATAAGCCGTGCTTGCCATTTTTGAAATATTATATAATAATGTTCTGATTTAAAAAACAAAAGGTTTTTTTCCCTGAAAACCAC